GCCCAACCTACAACTTCTCCTGCGCCTCTCCTCACAGCTACCCAAGTGGCTCCACTCACTCCATTTAGTGGCTGTCTGCAATTTCTCCCCCAAGCAAAGACTACCAACCCCCTCTCAGTCCTGTGATAAAGAACAGCATGCACAAGGGTCACTAACACCATCAATCCTTTTTCATTCATGACCTAAGGCTGATCTCAAACCAGGTCTCCAGGACAGAAGGCTGGAAAGACCAACCCATTACCAGACTCAGAGCTGGTCCGGGAAGGCAAGCATCCTCCCAGCTTGCATAACTTGCAAAGAAAGAATTAAAACAGTAAGATAAAATTAAGCAATGGTATAATTTACTGCTCAGAATTTACTAATATGCAACCTAGGAAGAACACCAAGGGCTATAAACATTTCAAGACACTTCACTGTGTTTTATCACTATATTAGACAGTACTTGCCTTTTAACACTTATTTAAGAAAATAAAAAACTTCTAAGCAGTAGTTTCCTGCAAAGACATAAATTAGTATGTTCTGATCAGCCACAGTAAGTGCAGTACAAGCATCTTCAGGTCAGAGATATACAGACCAAAGCCTACATTCATTTTTACCTATGTTCAGTGCATGTGTAGAATGATCCAAAACTGAAAGGAGAAGGATTAACTGATGCTCTCGACATTAAGGTGCAGGTCTGAGATGCAGCACATGTGGCTTCAGCTCTTTTCTCTGCCTCTGCCTGCCTGCATAACCATAGGCATATCACTTAACCTCACTGTATCTCAGCTCTGTAGCTATGAACACACAGCAAAAACCTTCTTCAGTTGCCAAGATTAATTCACATTGTGCTTAAGAGCCGACAAACCGGTTCCATACACGGAGGGAGGCAATTTGACATTTCAGAGGAGCTAAACCACACTAAAGAGCTTACATTACAAGGGCTCAACCCTTGCAGACACCAAGTACCCTCTTTTCCACTAAAACTGTCTCCTGCAGTCAGCGGCTCCCTCAGCCCTTCAGAGGCACGTTACCCTCACCACCCAACACCACATCAATGCAAGTTGCTTAATGAGTAGTGGCAGTTCCATCCTAGGTGCAGGATAAGGTCCAAGCACTAAAAGCAGACTATGCCAGGTATCTGAATCCATCCCTGGAGCTGTTAAACTTGGAGGATAGCTCCTTGCAACAGGCTAAAGGAATCCTCCCGCTGAGCACTCGCAGGCCTGAGGACCGTGTGCCTAACGAGGCTGTATCCCCACTCATATTTTAGCTTGGCAGGTCTGGTGCTCCTTTCATCTTTTGCTTCAGGTAGCTCTCTTTAATTAATAACATTTCTGTGTCGACACAGGGAACTTTCCACCCAGAATGAATGGCCCTCTCTCATTAGAACCACGACTTGTCATGATGTATTCAAGAGCAGGAGTGTGATTCATTCCCTTGTCTGGGAACGAGGGGTGTTGCTGGGGGGTGCGGGGGGAGAAGAGTCTCTGTAATGAGTGACTGATATTTGCTGAAGTTGATATGCGACTCTGTCGGCTTGAACTGCCTTGTCAGGACAAGCCTTCAGAAAGGTGATGTTCCTACTCAAGAGGTTTTCCTCATTAAAGAAATTGCATCTTAACAAGAGGGAAGGGGAGGGGTGGCAGGAGAGCTGCTGTTTCCCTGACTCCAGCCTGGTTCACACACACCGAGTGCTGAAAGCTGGCTGATCCAAGCACAGCCAACAGAGGATCAGTGCTCCATTTCTGAGCCCTCTTGTGCAATGGGCTCTCTCCAACAGCAACCTAGTCCCTTCAACAGGGACTATCCTTCTGATGGTGCACCACAGCCATGACAGAGCCTTTGGTGGCATGGCCAAGGACCTCAACTCATGCTGAACCTCCATGAGCCCTTCCCAGATGCTTGATGTCCTCTTCTGGGCAGCCCACTCCCTGTGACTAGTGCTCCCTTTTGTCAGAGGGAAGCCAGACAAACAGCTCTGTGATCTTCCAGGGAAGCTCCAATGTTCAAGAGAAATCAAGTCTGTAGCCACAAAGTGCCTCATTCCCTGAAGAATTCTGAGCTGAGCAGAGGCTTCACAGGTCCTTTAGCAGCTGAGTTTCCATTTGAATCCTGCAGATTCAGATACTGCCACACACCATCAGCAGAGAGCAGTACCCTGACAATCCTATACCTCTGGTGCTTCTGAGCTAGGAATGCTACACATATTGCAACTCCTGGCTTTGACAGGACCATCTCCCCACCTTGTCCTCACATCCACCATTGACAGGCTTGTAGATTCCTCCTGCCATCCAGCTTTCTCATCACACTGTGCCTCCCAGTGCCCTGGCACCTACTGGAAGCACTCACAATAGACAAGCCTGTCCAGAAGTTACCATGTCTCTGCTCTTCAACAGCACATGCAGACAGAAGCCAAACTAAATTGGTGGAGAAGCCAGGAACAAGGCTGCGTGGTGTCCCACCAACAGATGAGCTAAGGACAATGGAGGACAGTAACTCCAAACCACACAAGACACTGGGTAAGAGAACTGCAGCTTGTTTCACAGGCAGCTGCGCAAGCAGCTGTCATTATTAAGGAAGCTGAGAAAAGAAGCAGCAGAGTTAGGAACGATCCTGCCCCAAATCGCTGCTCCCTAAGTCAGGAAGTGCTGCACTCACCTGATTGTCCTGAATTAGTCTGGAACTCAGTGGGGTTTCTACCACGCAATGCCTCCAGCATCACACTCCTCCAAGTGTGGACAAGCAGCAGTGCCTCCCCTCCCACAGTCCCAGTGCTTTCTATGCCCAATGTGTGATTTCAACACAGTATCAAAGGGCACCAGCTACACCACAAGTCTTGTAGGGAAGCATGGGGTGATTCCCTGGAATATCTCTTAGATGTTCCACATCTCTGAGGCTCTATCTCCCTGCCTGAGCAGTCTTGTTTCAGCTCTCTGCCTTCCCTCTTTAAAAAGAGATGCTCAGTTCTGCTTTGCTAAACCCTATTTGGCAATGTGTCTAAACACACGCAAACTTAATTAGTTCAGGAGGGAGACTCGGCATTTGTGGTGACGGATAAAAGTAATGGGAAATGAGACAAGTCAGAGCTGGCAGGGAGTCCTCACTCAAGCCTCATTCACTGGCACAGCACTAATCAGATGTGATGCTACACGCTGCGGCACCCAATCGGCGACGGAGGCGTGATGTGCTACTCACCAAGCAGCTGCAGCCAGACTCCCGCTATCCATGTGGTTGGAAACACAAAATGTATTTTCTGCTTTGCCCTGGAGATGCTTCAGGATTGAATTCTGAAGTTAATGGTTTAAAAAAAATTTTTAAAAGAAGAGGGAGAAATGAACCACTTGCTGCAACCTCATGGCCAGGAGTGGAGTCTTCTGTTCCAGCTGACTAGTGAGGCACAATCCATGCGAGAGACCAATGCAAATGGCAAACTGAGGATCTCTGCTCCAGAACTGCAAGTCCTGCTGAATCAGCTCACCCACAACCCCTATGGCTCACCAGAAATGGGGCTCATCTTTACTTCTATTTGCCCACTGTAGAGCTCTGAAGAAAAAAACAAACAAAACAAAAAATCCAGAAGGTTGCCCACTCCACACAGACACCAAGTTAGGATGTCGTTATCTGGGAACCTTGTTATCCCCACTGTGAAAGAGATGGAAAGATGGACTTTGAGCAAAGATAACTCTGTTTCTCACAACCATCACCAAAAGCTGTAAACTGGACTCTCAGAAGAGCAATATAGGAGTAAAAAACTGAGGAAAGAGAACAGATGAAAAATAGAAGTTTAGCACATTCCTGCAGTTATCTTTGTGCTAGTCTCTAATAAAAGTTTAAACATGATATATAAAGAAAAATAAGCCTCAATCTTAATTTAAACCAGTAACACAGGAATTGGCAACATATACCAGCTCTGGACACCACCCCAGAAGAGAGCCAGATTTTGACTCAAAAGCTCACATACCACACTCCTGTTTGGAGCATGGCAAATCTCTCATCTCCACTAGCACTTGTACTACTGCTTCAATCCTCATATCTCATGTCTCACTAATCACACCAAGAAGAGGCAAGGAGCTGCCACTGTACAAAGACCACTCTGCAGGGAAGAACTGGTGCTGATTGCTCCGAGGCTGTGTGCAGTTTATTTAGGCTTCTGACTTGGGGAAACCAATGTCATGCTGAAAACCAAGTAACACTACTAACGAGTTGTGGATGTCAGTTTAGCATTGGATGTGTCAAGCCCATGCTTTACCTGTGTGATAACAACAGGAGTCTTTATGCAGCACTATGTAGAAATGAAAAGCTGAAGCGATATTATAGGAATCCAAGTGAATTCAGTACAATATGACACTCATCTGAAAACACCTTACTGATTAGATTCATCTAATTCTTAGACATTTAACTCAATTTTTTTAAAATAACATTTTTAGGTTGGTGGCCTAGCTATTTTCATAACAAAACACACACATACACTGACACTTGCAGATCCCAGTGCCGGTCCCCCACCGTCATCCAGCTGATGAAGACGACCTTAACAATAAGAACACCAATGAAGCATGCCAGACATGGCTTGTACTCTCTGGAAGACTATTGTGTGGTTCGCATCCAGTTAGTGTGCTAAGATGACAGAGAGAAAGCCTTGCATGTGGAAGTCACGTAAGGACCACTGCTTGATTTGGCTGTACAGAGTTCCATGGTTGTGCTCAGGAATACCCATCCCTTTGAAAAGTGTATTGGATAAAAGATAAAACATCACAAAGCTCCAGTTTAAACCTTTCTTGGGGTTCTGAAATGATTCATTTGCTATAGGGAATATCCTAGGCAGTGATATTGCACTATACCCAGCACCTACCCGTCTTCTTAAGCCACCCTCCACTACCAATTATTCATGGCAAACAACAATTTTCCTACGAAAAAAAGACTAGGGACAGTCAGAGGCTTGTAAGGACAAAGACATACACACTACAAGCAAGCATGGAGCAATAAAGCCCAGAAAAATCTCCCTCCCCTTCCATACTCACATCACTTTCAAATCCCAGTCTCCACAGGTCACAAAAATCGACTTGACGCTGGGATCTAAGAGGCCTTCCTTTGCCATCCACTCGTCAACCCTCTGAAAGGAAGGCAAGAAAAGGGGATGAGTTTTGCAGAGACAGGCCGAGCCACAACAGTTAAACTCAGATAAGCTGCTTGCAATCAAGAGAGAAGAAAATTGTGATCTTATCCACCCTCTCCCTCTCTCTCGTCTCTCTTTGCTTGCCATCTCAACAACAGCACGTTTGGACCTTTGAAGATTTCTGATAGGAGACATCAGGCAACCAGAGCAGAGATGATCTTATCAGACACCACAGCAGCTCTGCTTGTGGAGGGATGGAAGTTATGCTGCTTTAACGGGACGATATAACCACACTCTTACCTGGCATTCCTCCTCCACTTTTCTTCTCCCCGTACCAAATCAGCTCATTGTGAGTGTAACTTCTAACCCCTCCAGTGAGGGGAAAACATGGGCATCCCAGGACAGTATCTCTCACCTACAACATTTCTCACATGTTCCAACTCATACAGCTCCAAAGGGGTACAGAAGAGGGGGAGAAATGGAAGGGCTGGGCACACACAGGCACTGTGTGGCAGTAACAAGAAAAGCCACATGTCCCCTTCCCCTTTAGGCTGTGTCTCTTTCCTCCTTACAGTTCTGGGGAGGTGCTTGTTCAGGGTACAGTGTGGATTTAAAGTGAATCCCCTATTCCTGATCAACTTCTCATAGGGCCAGATGTTCTGGATCCACTTCAGAAATGGGCCGTGTTAATCTGGAGGATGCACATTTGCTTTGGAGACAAGCCAGGAGGAACTAACCTCAAGTAAAACCCCTGCATAGATACTTATTCCAGGTAGAACTAGCAAATGATGTGCCCAAAATCTTCTAGTGGCAGGTGACAGGCAAGCAGCAGCTATATGCAGCCTCACTAGCAGCATTTTCACTGCTTCAGCAAGAGAAATCTCTCCCATTTTTCCTCGCTTGACACCTTCCGCTCCTGAGTAAACTAGCATGCACCAGAAGCTGCCTGATCCAAATCTCATTTTAATCTAGAAACATGATGCTGTATGAACACATTTTCAGTCCAAAAAAAGTCTACAGAAATGTTTCCACACTCTAAGAAGTTCCTGTAGGAACAGAATGAACCATTTTCTGTAATACTCCAGTGGCGATGTACATTCACCCATTCAGGCAAAGAGGGCTCTCTTTCCTGGGGAAGCGGCACAGGCATCCGTATGCTTACAAACACACACCACCACTACCTGCTCTCTGGAGAGCACCAAGGAGAGCTGGGGGTTTGCATGGATGCAAGATGTCACCTTCACAGAGCACCATCTTCAGCCTTGTGTCACTGCTTCAGCCTTTCCCGCAGAGGATGGTGCTTCTTTCTGCAACTGACTGCACAACAGCCCCCTGAGGTAAAGCTTCCCCCAAAGCAGCATCCAGCCTCTCAGCCACACTTCTGCCTCCCTTGGGCTGCCAGGATATTCCAGCCAGCCCCGGACAAGGCTCCCCAGTGCAAGGGACAGCAGCGGTAAGCCTTCTAAACTCCCTGATGTGAGCACCCATGAAGTGCTGTCTCCATGAAGGATTTTAAAGCCTTTAATTTGATTTCCTCAGATAAGCAATTGTTGCTATTATTCTGATTAGGAACAATTAGGTAACACAGCAGTGGAAATCCTGACAGACACAATGCATCGAACACCAACCTGCAGCCCAAGCAGGCTGTGCTCGAGGAGGTTTCCTCCACTATTTGACTACCAACAAAAGCTATTGATGGAGAAATACTTCCGAGCTAATTAAGCCCTAAATGCTGTAGAAATTCAACATTAAGCAGATGGCATTATTAGGGCTATATCTGCATTCGCATATCCTCTAGATTAGATTTCAGAAGCATTTTCTTTCTATACTACATGTATTATTAAGCATTTAAATAGGTAGAAAAAATTAATTTAATAAAGTGAAAGAAAACGAAGGCAGAAGTTCCCAAAGCAGTAGTCTCCAGCAATGTCTTGGTGCTTTAAAACTGGCTCAAGCAAGAATCGCCTTTTCTCCTATCTACTGGCAGGAGTTTGGATATCTTGTCAGCACCCTTGACATGAACAGCTGGAGATGACAGATCAATGGTTCAATACTCTCAGCAGTGTGTCACCAACGTGACAGCAAATGTTATTCTAATGAAGCTGTAATCATAGTCAAATTACGCGGTTCGATTCTCAGCAAGGGGAGGGTGCAGGGAAAGAGATGAAGAGCGGACAACAGGACCAGAGGTCAGAGTTCAGGAACTAAAGGTTACTCTGCTTACCTCAAGCACTTGCTGGAGGCTTGGCTGCCCATCCACCATGCCTTGAATAATCCCAGTCAGCTGAAACGAGAGACAAACAGAAAGCAGGTATCAGAGGAGCACTCAAAAGATCATTAGAGAGGTCTCTTCTCCTGTCCATCTTGCTGCAACCAAAACATGCTCCTGTGACCCACATGGACCTTGCTGAGGAGCCAGACACAGCAGAGTGACCCTGGCAGCTCCCCAGCCACAGGCAAGGGCACAGCTTCATCCCACACACAGAAATGTAGGAGGGGTCCTACCCACACCATAAACCAGCAAACTCAGCAGGGCAGGATCCACCTGGGGAGCAGTGGTGCCCTCTACTTCATGTACCAGCAAGATTCCTGAAATGCTCTTTCTCAACATGCATTTCACCAGTTGTGATGTTGCCTTGAATTCCACAAGCAGCATTAACTACTGGGGTCTCTGTTCATTCTCCTGCTATCGTGGTGACACGAAAAATTGCAGAGTGTTAGATGAACAGAACAGACCACTATTGGTGAGAACCAGAGCGGACCCAGTCATCCTTCCCCATGCCGGGCAGCCAGCACGTGTGCTTTCCCACACTCCACTGCAGCATCCCTCTGTATAACAACTGAATGAAATCTGAAGAAAACCATTTTCTTCCAGAACCCTGCTCTACTCTGTTTTTCAGGAGATTCCTTAGGAACTGGTCCTGTCAACAGAGAGTCCTACTGACTGTACCCGGACTGCTTGGCTGTTTAAAGCTAGACACACACATAAAAAGATGCAGTCTCATGGGCCTCTGCCTGTGTCTGCCCAGGATAGCTTGAGGCACATGGAAAATAGATAATTTTTCTGTCTGCCTTCCAACTGACAAAACTGTCTTTTAACATATTGAATATTGGAGGTCAGTAGCTTGCCATCAATGCACCCAAGTAATTAAAAAAATCATTATTAAAACAAGTGCACACTACAGGATTTCACTTCATATGGCACTCTCCTGAAGCTACACATCTCACACGTTTTCATAAAATAAAGGTCAAACACAGCCTAGGAGCATGCCCTGCTGCCTGCACACACATCCGTGCCTCCAGAAGCTGTTGAAAGGTGCTGACAGCACCCCCCTCCCTCCTCAGGAATAACTCTTACATGCAGACCAGCTCAAACTACTTGTAAAACATAAGTCCTCTCACAAACCACAGGGCTCTCCTTTATTAAATGTGTGGCAACTGAAAGAAGCTCAATGTTTCTACCTTTACGTTTCTTTGGCTGCTTGGCTTAGAAAAAAAAAAAAAAAAAAAAAAGAGATTAAACTCCAATTAAACTGTAATTACATTTAATGAATACCAAATACCTGACTCACTGAATAAGCTGTAAGGGAAAAGATTATTTTCGCATAGTGACTTCCATGGAATGGTAATATATACCTTTTAGGGAAAGTATTTTAATTTTAAGAATGCAGAGTTCCTCTAGGTGGGTTTCTCAAGTTCATCAAGCCATTATGAGGTGGAATTTTAAGGAAGTGGAGGGACGTAGATACTCTTTTATATTCCAGAAACTGTTTTTATATTAATCTGTATTTTAATTGGGTAACAGCTGCTACCTACAGACTTCCCATACTATAAGAAGCAAATAGATTTGAGAGATTAATGCACAGCTCTTTAGAGCAGTTTTTAAAGCTCACTGGCTTGGTTTTTGATTTTCCTGCCATCCTCTTCTCCATGCATACCCCTGGCAGAGGTGGACAGCTCACCTACTGCAAAGTGCTGGCTCTACCTCTCAGAGGGCAGCACAAATCAAACCTCTAGGAGTGGCTGAAAGATGAGCTTTGGGAAAGGATCATAGAATCATACAGTAGCTTGGGCTGGAAGGAACTTTTAAAGGTCATCTAGTCCAACCCCAAAGTAGACTGGAGCGATGGGCTGAGGCCAACTGTAGGAGTTTCAATAAGGCCAAATGCCGAGGGCTGCCCTTGGACCACAACAACCCACAGCAGCGCTACAGGCTTGGGGAGGAGTGGCTGGAGAGCTGCCAGTCAGAGGGGGACCTGGGGGTGCTGACTGACAGCTGGCTGAACAGGAGCCAGCAGTGTGCTCAGGGGGCCAAGAAGGCCAATGGCATCCTGGCTTGTGTCAGCAATAGCGTGGCCAGCAGGGACAGGGAAGGGATCTTGGCCCTGTACTTGGTGCTGGTGAGGCCACACCTTGATTCCTGTGTTCAGTTTTGGGCCCCTCACTACAAAAAGGACATTGAATGACTCGAGCGTGTCCAGAGAAGGGCAACGGAGCTGGTGCAGGGTCTGGAACACATGTCCTATGAGGAGTGGCTGAGGGAACTGGGATTGTTTAGTCTGGAGAAGAGGAGGCTGAGGGGAGACCTTACCACCCTCTACAGCTACCTGAAAGGAGGGTGCAGAGAGCTGGGGATGAGCCTCTTTAGCCTAGGAGAAAGCGACAGGACAAGAGGGAATGGCCTCAAGTTG